TGGGCCGCCAGAGGCCTGGCCGGGCTTTGCAACGCGCGTTGCTGCGGAGCGCAGTGCCCCTTGCTGCGGAGCGCAGTGCCCCTCGCAGCGGTTTGCAGGGCGCTTTGCTCTCATTTGCAATGCCCCTTGCCATGGTTTGCAATGCCCCTTGCTGCAGGTTGCAATGCCCCTCGCTGTGGCTTGCAACGCCCCTTGCTGTGGTTTGCAGCTCCCCTTGATGCAGATTGCAGTGCTCCTCCCCCTGCATTGCAATGCCCTTGCTTTTGTTTGCAATGCCCCTCGCCCTGCCATTGCAATGCCCCCGCCATGATTTGCAACACCCCTTGCTGCACGTTGCAATGCCCCTCGCCACGGTTTGCAATGCCCCTTGCATTTGTTTGCAATGCCCCTCACCCTGCATTGCAGTGCCCCTTGCTGCAGATTGCAGTGCTCCTCACCCTGGTTTGCAATGCCTGTTGCTGCAGGTTGCAATGCCCCTTGCTTTTGTTTGCAATGCCCCTCGCCCTGCATTGCAATGCCCCTCGCTGTGGCTTGCAATGCCCCTTGCTGTGGTTTGCAGCACCCCTTGCTGCAGATTGCAATGCCCCTCGCCGTGGTTTGCAATGCCCCTCGCCCTGCATTGCAATGCCCCTCGCTGCAGGTTGCAGTGCTCCTCACCCTGCATTGCAATGCCCCTTGCTTTTGTTTGCAATGCCCCTCGCCATGATTTGCAACACCCCTTGCTGCAGGTTGCAATGCCCCTTGCTGTGGTTTGCAACGCCCATTGCTGCAGGTTGCAATGCCCCTCGCCCTGCATTGCAATGCCCCTCGCCATGATTTGCAACACCCCTTGCTGCAGGTTGCAATGCCCCTCGCTGGGGATTTCAAAGGCTGCTGCTTTGGATTGCAACGGGCCTTGCTTTGGTTTGCGATGCGCCTTGCGGTGTATTGCGATGTCCCTTGCTCTGCATTGCTGCGGGCCTTGTTCCGCACTGTGATGCCACTGGTTTTGCATTGCAACGCGCATTGTTTTGGATTGCAATGCGCCTCGCTCTGCATTGCAATACGTCCCGGTTTGGATTGCAACAGCCTTGCTTTGGGTTGCAACAGGCCTTCTTCTGGATTGCAATGCCACTGAGTTTGGATTCAACGCAGCACGCTTTGGATTGCAGTGCACCTTGCTGCGGGGTGCAACGCGCCACGCTTTGGGTTGCAATGCGCCTTGCTGCAGGTTGCAACACGCCACGCTGAGTTGCAACGCACCTTGCTGCAGGTTGCAATGCACCACACTTTGGGTTGCAATGCGCCTTGCTGCTGGTAGCTATGCATCTTGCTGCAGGTTGCAATGCGCCATGTTGTGGGTTGCAATGCACCTCGCTGCGTGTTGCAATGCACCTTGCTGCAGGTTGCAATGCGCCACGCTGTGAGTTGCAATGCACCTTGCTGCGGGTTGCAATGCACCTTGTCGCAGGTTGCAATGCATCTTGCTGCGGGTTGCAACGTGCCACACTGTGGGTTGCAATGCACCTTGCTGCAGGTTGCAACGCGTCACGCTGTGAGTTGCAATGCACCTTGCTGCGGGTTGCAACACGCCACACTGTGAGTTGCAATGCACCTTGCCGCAGGTTGCAATGCATCTTGCTGCGGGTTGCAACGTGCCACGCTGTGAGTTGCAATGCACCTTGCTGCGGGTTGCAACGCGCCACGCTGTGAGTTGCAATGCGCCGCGCTGCAGGTTGCAATGCTCCATGCTGCGGGCTGCAATGCCCCTTGTTTATGATTGCAACCGGCCTTGCTTCCCACTGCAGCGGGCCTTGCTTTGGATTTCAACCACTTGAACCCATTGGGCAGGGCGTTGCACAAATCCCCCCGTCGCACTGGTAATAAAATGACACACGAGTTTTTCCCATCTTTTCCGGGTTGACGTTTTGGGGGGGATAAAATGCAATTCCTCCACCCGATCTGCCTCCGATCCCCTTTTTCGTGCGCCCTGTTAAGTTTTTTGCCATTGCACGACCCAGCTTGGAAAGGGTTGATCTCCTGGGGTCGCCTCCACCCATTTTTTGGGGGAAAAAAAGGCAATTTCTTCACCCCCGGAGATTAATTCCTCGGGAAAACGCCCTTTCCTAGAACAGAGACCGCTTGGTTTACGAGTGACATCATCGGAGAAAACATTTTCCCAGGGAAATCATCGAACTCTGTCCCCTGGCAAATATGTGGGCTCAAAAAGAGCAAAGGAACTGTGCCGGGCGAAGGTGTCCCAAACCCGCAAGTGATTGATTCTGTTTAATTTAGGCTGGGTTTGACATAATTTCTGGTGAATTTGGTATTCTGGGGAAGATTAGCAGTGCTGGATGTTTCCTGGATGGGTTGTGAGAGGCCAAAATGAAGTGATTGATAGCATTTTTTTAAGATTTCAGCTTTGTTAGAATTCTTTGGGGATAATTTATAAATACAGTGGGATCTTATTGAATTTTGCATTTTTTTACAATTGCTTTGGGATTTTATTTAATTGCTCTGGGATTTGTTTTAATTCCTCGGGGACTTGCTGGAATTCCTTTTGGAGAGTTGGGAAGTGCTTTTGGGGGTTTTCCGTAATCACTTTGGGATTTGTTACAAATGCTTTGAGATAACTTCTGAGGACTTTGGCGTATTTTATAATTAATTTGAGATAGCGTGATTACTTCGAGAGGGATTTATAATTGCTTTGGGATTTGCTTTAATTGTTTGGGGACTTGCTAGAATGCCTTTGGGATAATTTGGAAATACTTTGGGTTCTTTCCTTAATGACTTTGGGATTTGTTATAAAAGCTTTGAGATAACTTTGGAGTTCTAACTGCTTTGAGATGGTATAAATACTTTGCTGTTTACTGTAAATACTTCGGGGGGTTTAGAATTTCTTTGGGATTTGTTTTAATTGCTTTGGGATTTGTTCTAATTAATTGCATGGGAATTCTTTGTCGCTAATCTCTTCAGGATATTCTCCCACTCTCTCTGCTCATGTGGGATTGCAAAAACTCCATAATTATTGTGGGTTTTTCACTTTGAGTGAAATACTCCAGAAGTCAAGCAGCTGCTGATGGCAACATTTCCCTGCTGACTCGGTGGAAGGAAAGTTTCTGGTGAAGATAGAGTGACCTTGCATGGATTTTGCAGGAAAAAGTTGGGGTTTTTTTTCTTTTTTTTAATGTTTCAAAGTGGGGATATTGAAATGTTATATTAAAAAAAAGGTCCCAGAGGGAGGGACTGTTGATGCACAGGGACGTGTGCCTGTGGCTGCTGTCAACACAAGCAAGTTTCTGGCTTCGGCGAGCCCAAGAATTTAGTTATCGAGCAGCCAATTCTCTTTTTTCTCCCCCAAGTTGTTCATTATTCTTTATTTGTTTTTTGTTACCCGGCCTGTTGCTATCTCTCTGCACGAAGTAACGCAGGAGCTGAGCCTCTGTTTGTGTTGCCTCCAAAGAGGTCTCGTTCCCACAGTCACTCAGCTCTGCCCTGAAGTTGGAAATAATTCGGGGTGTTTCGCCACGGGAGGTAGAGCGGGGTGCTTCCCCATGGGAAATTGCGGTGTTTCACCGTGGGCGACGTGTTGGGTTGTTTCAACATGGGAGATGTGTTGGGTGGGTTGTTGCACCATGGGGGATGTGTTGGGTGGGTTGTTTGCCCAGGGGAAGACGCGTTGGGTTGTTTGACCATGGGAGACACATTGGGTGAGTTCCTTCCCCATGGGAGACACGCTGGGTGAGTTCCTTCCCCATGGGAGACACGTTGGGTGAGTTCTTTCCCCATGGGAGACACATTGGGTGAGTTCCTTCCCCATGGGAGACACGTTGGGTGAGTTCCTTCCCCATGGGAGACACGTTGGGTGAGTTCCTTCCCCATGGGAAGACACGTTGGGTGAGTTCTTTCCCCATGGCAGACACATTGGGTGAGCTCCTTCCCCATGGGAGACACGTTGGGTGAGTTCTTTCCCCATGGGAGACACATTGGGTGAGTTCTTTCCCCATGGCAGACACATTGGGTGAGTTCCTTCCCCATGGCAGACACGTTGGGTGAGTTCCTTCCCCATGGGAGACACGTTGGGTGAGTTCCTTCCCCATGGGAAGACAGTTGGGTGAGTTCCTTCCCCATGGGAAGACATGTTGGGTGAGTTCTTTCCCCATGGGAGACACGTTGGGTTGTTTCACCAGGGGAAGACACATTGGGTTGTTCCATCATGGGAAAGACATGGATACCTTCACTGTGGGAAACGACGTTGAGGTGTTTCCCCACAGGAAAAACGTTGGGCTGTTTCCCGACCAACAGTGGAAACAGAGAAGACAATTCCCATTTTGCCCACCAGCCCCAAAACTCACAAAGCAAAAAAACCCCACAAACCCACAGGAAAAAACTTTGTAAAAAGGGTTTTATTGATTTACCCAACAGCAGGCAGCGTTATACTGGAAACAGTAAATGGGAATAGTGCATTTCTGGGGAAAAATGGTTGGGATTTGGGTCTGGTGATCCCAATTTTATGTTTATTTTGGCTTGAGTTGTTTATCTCGCTTTCCTTCAGGCCACTCTGGTGCAGATCGATCATCTCAGCTTTGGGCTCTACCTGAAGTAGATCAGGTCTTTAAAATATGCATTTTTTCTCACCAGTTGGAGGCCAGATCAAGCATTTGTCCTTTTTTTTTTTGCAGGTATTTGAGGCTGGGCGACCTGCTACTGTAGACGTCCATCAGTGCTGGTTTTCCTTCTGCGCTTGCAGAAACTCAACCTGAGACGCTGGTTGGTGCCTCTAAAGGCAGGAAAACTTCTGCAGGAGTATTTACAAGAAGCGCATGAACCGGTGTGTGCGCGTGCCTGCGGAAACTGTCCTCTCGCATCAGTCCCCGCGTGGTTTCACCTACTGCATAGGGTAGACGGGGGCTTCCACTTCCGTCCGCACAAGGTTGGAGGCGCGGCTGAAAGAGATGAAATGTGGGCAGCTGTCAGGGGTCTGCCTTTGAAGAGGAACCAACAGCCCTTCCTCACCCTCATCGTCGCATCCCTGCAGGGAGGCAGAAAGTTGCATCTTCCCCTTCCTGAAAGGTGAGGTTTGCTCAATGCAACCATCTTTTTATGGAGCCGATCCTGTCCCTGTGCATGGGATTGTGCTCAAAAAGTTTCCAAGCCCGGCTACTGCCTTACGGCGTTGTTGGCTTCATCTTCCACGTCGTGGACATTGCCAAAAAATTACAGTTGCCTCCCCACCCACCACCCCGTTGTTGCAGCCTTGTCCATCTCCCTCAGGAGCATCCTCGTAGCCAGTGGCAGAGGGGAAGCAGGGGTTAAATGGCCGTGTTAGGGCACGTTGGGGTGTTAGGCGTCGGTGTGGAGGTGCCGTGCAGGACGGGCAGCGCGGCGGGAGGGCCAGGAAAGGCGGAGGAGCGAGGGCAGGCCGGTGGGCGCACAAGGGCGAGACTGCAGGCAAGCAAGCGGAAGGTGGAGGTGGGATGGCCCTTGGAGGGATCTTCATTGCCCTGTGGCGGTGGCTTTGGGGTTGCTCTCTGTTCAGCCAAATGGCTCTATATTGGGCAAAACAGCTCTATATTTGGCAAAAAGGGCTCTGTATTGGGCAAGATCGCTCATTATTTGATAAAATTGCTACGTATTCAGAAAGATCACCTTATATTCAGCAAGATCACTCTACGATTGGCAAGATGGCTCTATATTCAACTGGTATATTCGGCAAGATTGCTCTGTGTTAGGCAAGATCACCCAATATTTGGCAAAGTTGCCCTCTATTTGGCAAAATCACTCTGTATTTTGCAAGAAAGCCCTATGTCCAGCAAGATCATTTTATATTGGGCAAAATTACCCTATATTCAGCAAGGCCATTCTGTACTCAGTGAAATCTATCTATATTCAACAAAGTCACCCCTAGATCTATCTCTTTCCGCTTCTCATGGGGACAAACCCGAGCAACATAGCGAAGCAGAAGACATCACACGAGACACCAAAGGACCAATTTTCAGCTTGATTTTGGCTCAGTTTTTCTTTCTACAAGGAAAACTTTCCTGGGCATAGTGATTTTGGTCGATACCCATTTCGTACAGGATGTCTTACATGGAAGCTAAGGCACTGGGCGTCTACTCTTCATACAAGTCTCTCTAAGGCTGGTCCATGCTGAAGCACCAGAAAACCTCGATTATCCAGGTAATTAATTAGGGAGGGTCAAACAAACTAAGCTGCATCCAATCACGGGGCTGCAGGAGCATGTGTAGCGCAAGATGTGACAGCAAAGGAGGAGAAGGGTCACTTACCAGAATAATTTCCTTGGTTTTGTGTGTCAGTCGCTGTGGATGAAACCAAAGAAGATGGAGAAGTCCTTCCCAGATGCCGCCTAGCCCAACCCATTGATGCCCCGTGGAGGTTGTTCCCTACCCTCTTGCTTGCCCATGCTTAAAAAAAATATCAACCCATGGTTTGCGGGGGTCTTTTGGGGTCGCTCACCATCCTGAAAAATCCCTGGCTTTCCAGGCATCAACAACCTCTGCGATGCTCCTCACAGTCCGGCCATCGGGCATCTTCAGGTCATCGCTGGGGTCACCGTTGAAGTTGCCACACGGAGCGCAGAGCTGGTTTACCAAGGCCGCTCCTACGGTCACCGTCACCTCCCCACTGGGGCTGAAGAGCACATCCATCCCCGACGTATGGGAGATGGTGATGTTCCCCGCCGCTGCGCTCAAGGAAATGGCTTTGGACACCACAGCTGGAAGGTGGGTGAAGAGACCATTCACCTGCAGCAAGGCAAAATGCCAGAAACAGGTTAAAAAATCCCAGACTGCCCCATAAAAATAGTACAGCACAAAGGTGTCATTGGGGTTGAACACCTAAGGGCGTCTAAAGGAAGAGGAGATAAATCCCACCCAAATTCCATGTCTTAATTTTATTACTCATCTTGCTCGTCTGCAAGGGTTGCCCATGCCCTGCCCTGGCTTACCCACACCTCCATGTTGTTATTCACAGTGATAAAAGCTTCGCGGAAGAAGATGAAGACGGCCACGGCAGCCGGGATACTGTCGTCCCGGCATTCGCTGATGTCTACCACCACCTTGAACCAGCTGGGTGACTGCTCGTTGCAAAGGGCGGCCACTTTATAGGTGCCACTGGTGAGGAGCCTTCCCCAGGTGCCATCAAACGTGGTCAAGGAGGCCCCCGGGGAGAGCCGGCACTGGCCTTCCCGCTTGACGCACTGCTGCGTCCCGTCCCGCGTGGCGCAGACCTCGTCCGGGGGACACTGTGTGTCCTCACAAACAAGTCCCTGGGATGGGTGGCAATTGCATTTTGTGGAGCAGTTGCTGGAGATGATGGTCTCACCTGCCTGGAAAGGAAAGGCTCAGGGGTTAAACCACGTGGACACCATCTCCAAATTTTGGGGGATTTTCCACCTTCAAGGGGGGAAGAAATCCCAGAGAGAGAAAGAATAACCGTGAGATGGATTTGGTGGAGTTTGTGCAAGTCAACAAATTAATTGTCCTTTTTCCCCTGGTCCAGCAGAGCAAAATATGCATTTTAGGATGTTATGAATTGCATTATTCTGGACATGTGTCCTTAAAATGAAGTGGCAACCCACCTCATCAAAGATTGAGTCCCAAAACCAGTTGCATTGACTAAGTGGGGCAACCAACCTCATCAAAGATGGAATCCCCAAATCCATTGCATCATCTGGATGGGACAACCCACCTCACCGAATGAGTTCCCAAACCTGTTGCGTCATCTAGATGGGACAACCCCCCTCACCGAATGAGTCCCCAAACCTGTTGTGTCATCTAGATGGGACAACCCCCCTCACCGAATGAGTCCCCAAACCTGTTGCGTCATCTAGATGGGACAACCTACCTCACTGAAGATTGAGACCCCAAGTTAGTTGCATCGACTCAGTGGGACAACCCAACTCATCCAAGATTGAGGCCACAAACCAGTCGCATCATCTAGTTGGGACAACCCACTTCATTGAAGGTTAAGTCCCCATACCAGTTGTATCGGTGAGGTGGGACAATCTACCCCATCAAAGACCAAACCCCAAACCAGTTGCATCATCCAGATGGGACAATCTTCCACAATCCTTCCTCAACCTGATTTCCACCAAAACCACCAGTGCCAAGCCTTGATGGTCAACCTCACCTTGAAATACCGTCCCTGGTGCATACAGCCGCACTGCTCCAGGGACACGCAGGCTTCTCCATCGAAGAGGTACCCATCGTCGCACTGGCAGCCCTCAAAGCATGTCCAGCTGCACGGGGCCGGCACAGAGAGGCTGGCACAGGTGAAGTCACAGGTACGGGTGCAGAGCTCATAGTGGCTGTGGAGTGGGCAGGAGAGGGCTGGGAAAAAAGGGAGAAATGCCGTTATTGCCCCCCAAAAATCCTGACCGTTTTTCCTGGACCCAATGGGGCATCCCCGTAGCTAAACAATGGTCTTGGGCATCTCTGATGGCTCCACGAAATGCTAAACCAACCCAATCCAAGTTAAAGCATTTGCATATCACTAATCACCTCGAGGCAAAGTAGAGGGATGCCTGTTTCGAACTCATTTGACACAAATAGTGATGTTTTGGAGGTAGTGAGCTGGAATTTCTTTCTTCCAGGGTGTTTTTGGTGGGAAACAGGTGATTGAAGCCCCAAAATGAGGGGTTTGGGGAGGTTTAAAAATAATTTCTGGGCTATTTGATAGATTTTGGGGGAAGTTTAAGCAAAAGGCAGCCTTGCACATTATTACACAGGTCATTAGTATGTCTTCTTGGTCCAGACAGCAAAAGCGCGTTTGCCTCGAAAGCAGGGAAAAAAAGCCATGATTGCAAAATTGGAGGGTTTTTCTGGGGGAAAATGTGGCTTTGGACAAAAACAGGAGTTGAAGTGGCTCCATGGAGATATTCTGGAGCACTTACAGCAAAAAGCGGTTGTTCTCCACCTGCCAATCTCCACCCCGGCGGCTTGGCAAGCGGCAGCGTAGGCTTGGAGGCTGTGGCACAGGACATCGCGGGCACCGTTGGCAGCACAGACATCGTGGAGGCAGTGGTTAAAATACTCCACCGGGCTGACCCGCGGGTGACACGGCCCGAAAGGTCCTGCCGGGTCCCGGATGAGCCCACAGGAGTCGCTGGCACCATAGGGAGCAGTGTCGGTGGCATCGCACATGGGGCAGCCCTGGCCGTTGCAGCCATCGGTGCACGCTCTGTCCGCCATCGGCACCTTCCAGGAGGTGATGAATTCCTCGGTGCTCTGTGCCAGGGACCCGCCGGGCAGCTGGAAGTCATCACCGGGGTCCCCGTTGTAGTTGCCACCCAGTCCACACACGCGGCCCCGGTAGACGTCGGGGATGGTGACGAGGAGGTAGGTGGCCACGTTGTAGAGGAGCCGGACGCCGGCGGCGGTCTGGAGGACGATGTTGTTCCCTTCTTGGCCAATCCGTAGCTTCTTGTCCTCCGTCACCAGCGGCAGCGTGTAGCGCTCCCCATCCACCTGCGACGTGCACGTAGGACGGGGAGGGGTTTGCACGCACGTGTGCACCAGGGGGGTTTGTGTGCGTGCACTCACCGATGGATTTCTTCCTGCACGAGCGCACCGACAGGCTTTGCATGCCCTGGGGCATTGTGCACACGCTTGTGCAGCAGGGGCTTCTGCACGCACGTGTGCCCCAGGGGATGTGGCATGCACACACGCACCGGGGGATATTGCACACACGTGTGCGCTGAGGGGTGGGGACATCCAGGCTTCCCAATGGGGGGATTTTGCATGCAGGCATGCACCAAAGGATTTTGCACGCACATGTGCACCGGAGGGTGGGGACATCCCAGCTTCTGGATCAGAGGATTTTGCATACACATGTGCACCAAAGGACCTTGCACACGCGTGTGCACCAAGGGACAGGGATACCCTGACTTAACAGTGGAGGGATTTTGCATGCACCAGAAGCGTTTGCATGCATGTGTGCACACGGGATTTTGCACAGATGTACGCACCGAGGGATTTTGCATGCAGGTGTGCACCGAGGGATTTTGCATGCGCATGTGCACCACAGGTTTTGCATGCCCATGTGCACCGAGGTGCAGGACCCTCCTGACTTACCGTCACTTCCCACTTCCGCCCCCTCTCCATGCTGACTGTGTACCCGTGGATGGAGACGACCACCTTCTTCATCAGGGCCACGTTGCGCCGCCCGCCCGCATCGTGCTCGAGCAGCACCGAGAAGTTGGTCAGCCGCGGATCTGACTTGCAGACCCGCGCCAGGACATAGGTGCAGGAGCCCAGGATGTCGAAGGCTCGCCCGTCGAACGTCACGTAGTGTGGGTCGCCTGACACCACTAGCCGCCCGTAGCCGGTGGGGTAGCACCCCAGCACCCCGTCCTCTACTCGACATTCCTCGTGGGCGCTGCAGAAGACCTCCTTGCACTCCACCACCCCCTTGGCTTTGCAATGGCATCTCTCCCGGCACGAGGCGTAGAAATCCTCATCCTTCTTGTAGTAGCGGCCCCTGTGCTCGCAGCCACACTCGCCTGCCGGCACGCACTCGTCACCGCTGAGGACAAAGCCCTCGTCGCAGAAGCAGCCTTCGGTGCACGGCACCGACGTGCAGCCCTCGGGGACGGCTTGGCCCCGACACGTGGCCGGGCAGCTGCTCCCGCAGAGCTCGTAGTGCGAATGACGGGGGCAGGAGGGGCCTGCAAAAAGCAGAGGAGAAAACGTGAAGTCCTGCTTGGATTTGCAGCCGAAAGCATCAGGGTGAGTATTTCCATCGTGGGGGGCAAATGCAAGCAAATCTTCGGTGGTGGAGCATCAACATCGCTCTGGAGGGCAAAGGGGATTTATTTTGAGTTTCCCTTCCTTGCATCAAAGAAATATGTAGAGGGCGATGGGGATTTATTTTGCATTCCTCTTCCTTGAGGAACGTGGAGGGCAATACAGATTTATTTTGCTCTGTTGCATGAAGGAGAAACAAATTTTGCTTTGGAAATGAGTTGGAGGGAATTTTCCTGCATCCATATTTTACCTAAACTCATCGTTTAGCCTTGGGGCTGTGGACGGAGAGAATAAAATAGTTTTTCTGGAAGGAATGGGTGGAAAGGGGGCAGATAAATCCTATTCTTTCATCAGCCCAAAGCCTAGGGTGCAAATCCAAGCAAATCTTGAGTGGTTGAGCATCAATATCGCTCTGGAGAGTGACGGGGACTGCTTTTGCACTCCCCTTCCTTCCATTAAGGAAGAATCTGGAGGGCAACAGGGATTGTTTTGCACCATTGCTGAACGAAGGAGGGAATTTTCCTTTGGAAATGGGTTGTAGGGAATTTCCCCACATCCATATTTGCATCTAAACTCATCATTTGGCCTTGGGGCTGTGGAGGGAGAGGATAAAGTAATTGCGTCGCAAGGAGATGATGGAAACAGGGCAAATAAACCGAATTTTGGAGGCATTTTGTGTTTTCATTGGCTCTAAGCAAAGCCAAGAGCGGGTGGTTGGGCTCCAAACCTTATTTTTATGGCCAAGCTGGGGGGGGGGAATCCCCTTCTGGCCCCGCTCACCGCAGAAGGATGGCGTCCTCCACGGCTCCATGCTGATGCCGTGGCTCTGGCACTCAGTCACGTAGGCGGAGATGGCTTTGCACAAGGTGTCCCGGTGGCCTTTGTAGTGGCAGGCGTCAAAGGCGCAATCCTCGAGGAAGGGCGTGGGGTTGACAGTGCGGTGGCAAGCCCGGAAGGGCCCCCCAGCTCTGGCAATCACCCCGCAATAGCCGTCACCGCGGTAGGGCCGTTTCTGCTCCTCGTTGCACACCGGGCAATCCCCCACACAACCGGCCGAGCAGCCGGGGACGTCTCCCACCTTCCAGCTATCGGCCAGCTGGATTTCATCCGCGGCCCGTTTGCCGTCACGAGTGATGAAGTCGTCATCAGCGTTGTGGTTGGCATTGCCGCAGAGGCCACAGACGGCGCCGGCGTAGGCGTCGGGGAGGATGACGCGGGCGTAGCTGTACCAGTCAAAGCTCACCCGCAAGCCGAAGACGGTGCGGGCGAAGCCATGGACGCCGCTGTGGTAGAGCTCGAATTGGCCCTTCTGGGTGAACGGGAGCTCCACAAAGGCACCGTTGACCTGGGGAAGATGGTGGGGGGGGGTCGGTGGTGGCAGCGGGGGGCAAATGGCTCACGCAACCCACTCAAGATCTGAGCATTTTTGCAAAAACTTCTGCACGGGGAAGATTTCTGAGTAAATTCAAATCAGTCAAGTCTGGGGCAGTTTTGGTAAACACTTTGCACAGGGAGAATTCCTGGACAAAATGCAAATCGCTTGAGATTTGGGGTTTTTTGCAAAACGCAGGAGGGATTTCTAGGCAAAGGCAAATTACTCAAAATTTGCGTGTTTCTGCAAAACCAATGCAAATTGTTTGAGATCTGGGCATTTTTGCAAAACCCTCTGCACAGGGAGGATTTCCGGGCAAATTCAAATCAGTCAGGTTTGGGGTGTTTTTGGTAAACACTTTGCACAAGGAGAATTTCCAGAAAAAAATGCAAATTGCTTGAGATTTGGGTGTTTCTGCAAAAACCTTTTGCATGAGGAGGATTTCCAGGCGTAGGGTTCTATAGTAAGTGGAAAATATTATTGTTCAGGGAGAAAAAGAAAAGAGAAGTTCTAGCTAGCCCTTTTGTGCAACACTTTGGCTACAACTAGGTGGGAATTAAACCTTTCCCAAATGAATTGAGTCAGTCTGCAGCTGTCAGGGAGAAAGGAAACATAAACTCAGAAAGCCGCATGGGAGCAAAAAAAGGAAGCTGAAGACGTCAAGCAAAGTGGATGCTTTTGAGTGGTGAAGTATTTTTGCTATTATTCATGGATATTTTTCACTCATTCAGTTTGCCAGAGCGAAAATGTGCTGTTTCCAGCACACCATAAAACAGTTGTAGGGTTTTTTTCTTTTTTTTTTTTTTTATATGGACTTCTTTAAGCGTTTAAAAATAAGGTGCTTAAATCCAAACTAGCTGCTCAGGGCTCCCTCTGGAGATGGCAGACAGAAATTGATGCTTCTATGGAGGTGTGCATGAGGGGAAAAAAGGGAGATTTGAGGGAAAACATAGCAAATAAGCAGTTTAGATGCAGGTTGCATGAGGTCCTCGGCAGACACCTACCTTGACCTTGCGCGGATGCTCCTGGCTCATGCTGATGACGTTGCCGTAGACCTCCAACGTGACGGTTTTGGTGAAGGACACGGCTTTGCTGCCCCGGTTGTTGTTCTCCACCTTGACGGTGAAGGGGACCAGTTTGGGGTCCTGGGTGCAGAGGGCTGCAAACTGGTAGATGCACGTCCCTTGGAAGTCATACCTCAACCCGTCGAAGGTGGTGTAGTGCGGATCGCCCGTCCCGATGCAGGTGAAGTACTTGTTCGCCTGGCAGCTGGGGACACCGTTGACCGTGACACATTTCTCATGGGCTTTGCACCCAGCCTTCTTGCAAGCCACTTTGCCCCCCACCTCGCATCGGCACCGGCTCTGGCAGCTCCCGTCCTCCCAAAACTCCTCCTGGACCTTGTAGGAGCGACTGTTGTGGAAACAGCTGCAGGTCTCCACTGGGACGCACGTGTCATTGTGGAGGACGAAGCCCTCATTGCACTGGCAGCTCGCCGTGCACGGCTCGCTGCAGGACGCGGGGGCTTTGGGGTTGGTGCAGGTGGCAGGGCACGCCGTCCCACAGGCCTTGAAGTGGCTGTTTTGGGGGCATCTCTGAGCTGTGGGGACGATATTTGAGAAGAAGATCTCAAAAAAAAAAGGGCAACACAAGGGATGAGATAAGCACTTCCCTTAGAGGGACGTCAGGCTCCTACACTGGAGGTGTTGGCTCAGCTGATGCCTGCAAGTCATTCAAAGTCCACGAGACACCCCATGGGGATGGTCCTCAAGAAAACCCTTACATAATTCTGTGTGTTATGGGCATCTGAAGTCAGATAAGGTGGATTTTGAGGTGGTTTGGCATGAAAAGAGCAACACAACCCTTTCCTGATGCTGGAGATGTTGACTAGGTTGATGCCTACAAGCATCAGCTTGGTGGGCTGGGCAGTAACTTTCAGGTACCCCATGGCCAGATCCCCAAGTGGATCCCCTTCTTTTTCCCCAGAATGCTTGGGGACCCCCCGTCTGAGCTCACCACAGCCTTGCGTGTCCTGCGGCGTCTCCTGGTCTCCGCATTCATCCTGGCAGGAGGGATCTCGCCAGCTCTCGGCCCAATCCTCCACACTGGAAGCCTGCGTGCCATCGGACAGTGTCGTCTCATCCTCCGTGTCCTCGTTGAAGTTGCCACAGAGTCCACAGGTAGCCCCAAAATAGCTGCTGGGCACCGCCACCATTATGGCCCAGTCTTCATCGTAGGTCACCTGCAGCCCAAAATCTGTTTGCAGGATAGTCCGACCCTCATTTTGGGAGATCTGGATCTTCCCTGCTTCCAGGTTGGCTGGTAGGCTGGTGAGTTTGTTGTTGACCTTGGGGGAAAGGAGAAGACGAAGGATTAAATCTCATCAGATGGTGGCTTTGCTAAGAGTTCACAAGCCCAAAAAAGTATATAGATACATTTGGAAAGAGAAATTTATTTCAGGAAGAAGGAATTATCAGCATAAACCAGCAATTTTGCCCCACGTCCTGTAGATACGCTTTGGTGGTAAAAGATCAAAACCCCGATGTGTCATGGGAGACCCATCTCCTTCAACTTCTGAGCTCAAAAATCTCATTTATGTTAAGACCACTGAACTGTACAGCTGGGAGAAACCTCATCTACCCTTGCAAAATAGACGTACGTCTCACCTAGACTCCCTTTTTGTGGTAGATCTCCATGGCTGTGGACCTCATGGATAAAGCCAACCTCATGGTAGAGTTGCATTTTTTTGCCTTTTTCTTGACGCTAACCAAAAAGTGATCATGGTTTAATTGGAGACACCTCTGAGGACATCTCGAGTCAGGTACAAAACACCCTGTCCTTTGCCATGTCTTGGTTTGTAATGCAAAATTTCCCAATACTCTGTGGTTTTGGTCGTTCTCCTCACTTTTTAATTTCAACCTCTCCCACCACAATGTTTTATCCTCCTCCACTTGGCACAAAAGGCTTTGTCCAGAATTACACTGCCACAGCCTGGAATAACCCACCTGGATTTTGCCTCCCTCTCCTTTGTGGATGGAGATGTTGTAGGTGTACACGTAGATGTTGGTCAACCACTCCTTGAAATTGCCTTCACTCTTCTTCTCCTCCACAACGAAAGGCACCAGGGTGGGATCGTTGCCACAATACTTGGCAATGGCGTAGGTGCAGCCGCCCCGGATATCCACGGTCATCCCGTCGAAGGTGTGGTATTGCAGGGACTGAGACCCCATGCAGGTTCCCATGTAGTCGTGCACGCACACGGCCTCCCCCTTCTCCATCTTGCACGTCTCCTTGGCGCGGCATTTCACGAGCCGGCAGGGATCTGGAAGAAATCACACACGATTATTTGCGGGGATGACTTTGCTGCCAGATGTGGCCTCGGGGACGGTGCAAGCATCGCTTTCACCGTAGACAGTCAACCATCACCTCCACATCTCTACTGTGTTAAAGCAGGGATTTATCCCAGGTGGGTTTAGCTACCTTGAGCTTAGACTTGAACGTCTGGGTTGATCGCTTGAGGCTCCTTTCGTTGATTATTTAATTATACATTATTTATTTATAGATTATAT